AAAAAAGGTAACTACAGGTCAGTAGTAATTCATTGGTAGTGAATCATTTTAGATAATACATTATATAAATACATCTGTCTTGCCACATGTGCCGATAGAAATTAAACAAATATGACAAGTTTTCATATGCTTTACACAATACTAGAAGGCCAATGCATTCCACAGATGTACCACTTAGGTATTTTTTAATATTTTCTGGCACGATCAACACATAGGAAGGGTTCTACTTCATTGGCTATATGGATATTTATGATATTCACAGTCATTCCTGCAAGCCTCATATTTATTTCCTATCACAAAATCCTGAAACAATTTGCCATGGGGAATAAAAATCCAAGACTGCCGACGCTTTTGAAATTCCCATGCTTGCAAAGTCTGACTCCCACTGCATCTGATGGTTTGCCCAGTGCTGGAGATATGATATTCTAATGACTAAGGACAAGCATTTTTCCTATCACTCCCTCAATCTGGCTCAGTTGGTATCACTGTCACTTCCGAGTCACAAGGATTGGGCTCAATCACAAAAACTCAAGGTTGAGATTCCAGTCCTCTGCTTTTCACAGGAGATGTGAAATTGTGGCCCTTCAGCTTTCTTGGATGGTTAAAAAGAATTCCACGGTAGTATTTTAAAGAAGTGCTGAGGAGCTGTCCCCAGTGTGCTGGACAACATTTATTCCTATACTACAACAGCGAATACACTTCAAAAAGTACTTTCTTGGTTGTAAAATGTTTATAAATCATTATAAAATACAAGTGTCTCTTTATCAAGCTATGTACAACAATTATTGTGACTCTGAAGAAAGCGCCAAGGTATTTTAGAAATTTGCTAACATTAAAGAGTCAAATATCAGAAAACTGCATTTTAAAATGTAGCTCCAGCACATCCTGTTTTATTCACAAATTACCTGCCTTATTGCAAAGAAACTCAATAAAGTTGAATTAAAAAGGTTGATAGTAGAATAAAACATATTTATAAATCAGGCATACCAGCACACAGATAACAGCAGCAGACTTCAAAATAATTTCATTTCCTGCATATTATTTACTCGAGTTTGCATGTTAATCGACAGCACTGACATTTGAGAAACAATATGGATATTGATAAAATCGATGTGAAAACCAAACGCTGCTACAAAGATTTTAGAATTGCGGTGACTGCAAGGATCATGTGGCAAGATTTCAAGTTTTAGGGCTTTAACTGTAACAATCAAGCTGATCACTTTATACCTCTATTTTACCCTAAATCAAAGAGGCAGGCCCAATGAGGAGGAAGAGTCAAAGCTGCTTATAAATATTTCACTGGATCCAAGAATTGGAGGAGAGAGGAGACAAGCTGCATAAAATTTATAAATCCAAGCAGCTTCCCATCTGAGGAGCAAGAAGACAGGCAGAAAGGAGGAACAGGTATCAGAGAGGTTGGTGGAACTAATCTACTGGGCTGTGTGCATTTATGCAAATCAATTAATCTAACCCAATCATTCAATTCCTGCATAATTTAAGGCACCATTCTTGTAGTGAAGTGGTAGTGTCCGTACCCCTAGACCAAGAGGCCCAAATTCAAGTCCCAGCTCGCTCCAGAGGTGTGTAATGATCTGTCTGAACAGGCTGATTAGAAAAATAGGTGCAATAAAAAAAAAGGCAGAAAAATTATTCAAGTCTATATTCAAGTATTTTTTAATATGTAAGTGTTTCTGAATCTACCAACTTTTCAGGCAATCAGTTCAGTACGATCACTCTCAAAAATTCTCCACTCCCTGTGCCACACCTGCCAATTTCTTTCAAAATATGCCCCTGGTTTATTGATCTCTGTTAAGGGAACTACTTTATTTCTCTATATTGGCCTTCATAATTCGCACACTGCAATTAGAACTTCCCTTTGTTGTGCTATGTTACACGGTCAGTATACCTCTACTAGACACAATTGTTATATCATCATTGTATCATCACATGTAACCTGAGGTTATAAAGATCTCATACAATTGGATGAGGCATTGGCCTAGTGGTATTATTATTAGACTTTTAATCAGAGACCCAGACAATATTTTGGGGATCCGGGTTCAAATCCCACCACAGCAGACAGTGAAGTTGAATTCAATGAAAATCTGGATTTGAGTCTAATGATGACCATGAAACCACTGTCGAAAAACCTATCTGGTTCACTAACGTCCTTTAGGGAAGGAAACTGGTCTGGGTAATTAGGGCAATAAATGCTGGTCTAGCCAACAATATTTTTTTAAATTCATTCACAGAATGAGGGCATCGCTGGCTAGGCATTTGTTGCCCATCCCTAATTGCCCAGAGGGCAGTTAAGAGTAAACCACATTGCTGTGGGTCTGGAGTCACATGTAGGCCAGACCAGGTAAGGGTGGCAGTTTCCTTCCCTAAAGGACGAGTGACCCAGATGGGTTTTTCCAACAATTGACGATGGATTCATCGTCATCATTTGACTCTTAATTCCAGATATTTATTGAATTCAAATTCCACCATCTGCTATGGTGCGATTCAAACCCAGGTCCCCAGAACATTATCTGGGCCTCTGGATTAACAGTCCAGCAATAATACCACTAGGCCATCAGTTCCCCCGTGAGTTAATGAAAAAAAAACAAACACCATCTTGCCTCAGATCACATGAAGCGTAGCACTCTGCTAGAAGCACACTCGTATGTTGTAAACTAATAACTTAATGTTAGCCCAGACACTTAAGTACCCAAGGAATGTAATGTTCACATATAGTGGCTAATTGTGATAAATGTCTGTTGGATTCTTCAACACTACAATATTCACACCCAGTTTCTTAAGTTACTGAAGATAAAACAAGCATTACTACATCAAGTAAAATACCCTGTTGGAGGTAAACTCATACCACCCTTCGTTTCCCATGTTTTCCAGCAATTAACCCTAACCTATCCTAATCTTTGCTCTAAGCTACAATACTCAATTCCTGGAAATATTCTCGCAATATCCTCTATGCTCTCTCTAATGTGATCACATCCTTCCTGTTATGTGGTAAACAGAACTATATGGAGTGTGCTACCTCTGGTATGCTGCTGATTTCATTTTTGTCCTGCAGCAAGATTCATGCTGTTTGGGTCCTCATTGTTATATTGCATGCAACTTCCCACCAGCTTTTCCTTCATGTTATGTGATGCTAACAACCATCCAATCACCAACATCCCCCTCCCCACCCCACCCAGACAGTTTACAGAATATATCAGTATCTGTCTTCAAATGCATTAAATCTGCAGTCTTAAGTTTTGTTTGCAAAGCTTCATTGTAAAGTAATTTGAAGCAGAATCTTTAAAATAACTTCCGTTAATCTAATTATCCCATAGCTGAGAAAAAGACTTTTAAGACATATTGTGTTCCATTTTATTTAATCTACTATAGCTAGGTTAAAAAAAAAATCACTCAGCAAAACATACCAGCATGTGCGTACTGAATCAGTCTCATCTCTTTCAAATGAACACAACATTTAATGTTCCTAAAATATGAATGTCTGTCAATATCCATCTGTGAAGAGATGTGACTGATATCAGTTTTAACCAATAAATCCATCAGCCTTTGGTTTTCAACCAGAAATGTTAATGTTTTGTTTTTAGACTATAGCCTATTTATTAGGTGCAGAATTGTTAAGATAAAGCTTAAGTGTCACCTTTACTCCTGGTATACACATGGAGATATGTCTTAAGTGCAAAAGAAATATTATGGTGCAGCTGCAGTTATATAGGACCAACATCCTGGAAATGCCATTCTGCAATGTTGTAGAGGGTGTTTATTTCCATGGAACAGTTCAGTTACATTCAGTTTAATAATGTGTGCTACTTTGGCTAGTATCAATTCCAGGAACAAGAAATATCTTATACCATCAGAGGGCATCGGTTTAAAGGTGAGGGGGAAAATGATTTAAAAGGGACCTGAGGGGCAATTTTTTCCATGTAGGGTGGTGCATATATGGAATGAGCTGCCAGAGGAAGTGGTAGAGGTTAGTACAATTACATTTAAAAGGCTGTGCTATGTGACAGGTACATGGATAGGAAGGGTTTAGATGGATGTGGGCCAAACGTAGGCAAATGGGACTAATTCAGTTTAGGAAACCTGGTTGGCATGGACAAGTTAAGCGAAGGGCCTGTTTCTATGCTTTATGACTCATTCTGAGTGACATTAATAATTAGAGCGAAATTGGACACATCACCCATATATGCCACATATGTACTCCATTAAGACTTCCAAAGGCATATAATTAATGAAGTTCACAACTAACAGGAATAAGAGACTTTTTCTTTAAATTTAATTTTATTTGACGGTACAAACAATTCAGTCAGTTACAGGTCCAATGGCAAACTCAACCCTCCAACACCTTGCCCATTCTGAACAGAAAAGCCTAAATTTGCTCTAATGACACTAAAAGAGCTGAGTTCAATCTTTCCTTTTGCTACATACTCCTACATCCACTCTGGAATCAAGAGTATAACCAAGGTGCAATTTTTCCCTCCCTCACAGAACACTGGGGCTGGATGTAGCACCAGTTGAGATTCGCTAATAAGCCAAGATGCATCGATCTCATCGGCCAACAGGAACCGTTAATACAAACGATATAAGATTCTCATTACACTGGTTTGGGTTCATTTTAGATCCAAAAGCTACAGGTGCTCTATTGTACAAAGCCCCTCAGCTACAAAGAACTTATGGGCTGATTTTCCTATAAGTTTTATGAGTAAAAATCTCAAATCATCTGTTTTCAGACTTCCTTTTTCATTGTAATTATCAGGATGAATTTCAACCTCACATTCTTTCGATACAAGCCATTATTCATTTCATTTTAGTGACTATTGAATGACTCACTCAAAGCTGTTCAGAGAGACTTGTAGCTGTTTAAACCCAAATAATCAAATTCCAAAGTTTCTGACATGGGTTTTATATAGAGGAACAGAAAACCAATGTTTGTTGAAAAGATTATGCTTAAGCCACGCTAACCATTTAAGCTTTCAAAAATACTGTACCTGGTTAAAATTCTTGAATGAAAATTCTTTAAAAAGGGCATCTCGATCTTCAACTTCCCCCCATCCAGCTGCTTTTAGTTCTGGTAGAAGCTGTTCTCTTTCCTCTGGAGTTAACCACTGGGGCTGTGAAGCCTAAAAGAACATCAAGCACAAAATATTAAATGAACATTGCCTAATTTCACCAAGTTTAGCAATATACAGTAATTTATTTTTTAAAAATGTAAATTTTACACAGTAACTTATAAAACTATAAACAAGAATGTTTATTAATGTAAACCATCAAGGATTGTGTATAATTAAAAAGACACAAACATGACATTTCATTTGAATCCTAATGCCGTGTTTTCTTTTTCGATATGACAAGGCGAGTTTTACATGGGAAAACCACTGAGAAGGAACTAAAATCTCACGCTGACACCGCTACAATTAATTGAACATTCACCCACAGCAAGTATCCGTGGGGAAAGAAAGTGGAAACAGTTCATCACACTCTGGATAGGAGAGGAACCAAGCATGTCTGCCTCAGCTGAGCAACGGAGAAGTAACATTGGTAAAAGATTGAGATCAACTGTTTCAGAAGCTGAATTATGGACATGGTAGTCAAGGAGGTAAACAACATTACAGTTACAAGGGATGTCAATGATATTTTAGACTGCAGCCATTTCAAGCTGTGACACAAGCAAAATCCTGATCAAGGATAATCAAACAAGCAATTGCAGGAAAGATGGGCACGACTTGGAGGCCACAAATTATTCAACTATTTCAGAAAGGAAAAAAAGCTAATTTGCAAATGTAAAACTTTTATTAAAGAGAGAGAAGTAATGACAACAGCCAATACCCAAGGAGATGGACCAACTTTGAAAGCATGCATTCACATATTTTACACTTATTAAAACTGTGGATTCTCATAAAACTTTAACACATAAATAAGGTTATGATTTTTTTTGCATTTCATGGACGCTTTTGACAGAGCATGTAAAATGCTTCAACAACAAAAGCCTTTATTCTGCTGCATTATCTTAAAACCACCACAAGATGGCAAATCACCTTAAATAGAATCCAAATAACAAATTTGCCAATACAGATTATAGCTCAATAATCTAGCAGTCACAGGACCTGCCAATGGGAGGTCATGTGTCCAATACAGTACCCTGGGCTCCTGACCTGTGCCATCCCCTAAATAAAAAATCATGGAATGTAGACATCACTGGCTGGGCCAATAATTATAGCCCATTCTTAACTGCCTTTCTCAACAGCCCTGCAATAAATATGGGCCCAACAAGCAACGTCCAAATCGGAAGTACTGTGGGTGCCAGGCGACATATGGGTGCAGGACAAAACAGAGGCTCACACTGTGTAACAGACTTCTGAATCTAGGACTGCCTGTAAGTAACAACGTTGCACCTTCAAAATCAAGTATACTGAAAATTTCTGACCCTTTTGAAATCACAATGCATCACAGGAAATCTAGTACACTGCTAATTTTTCACAAACATGTTAATTATTGAGGCTCAGTATAATGTCGTCTTTTCATCTTAGTTACTTAAGTGGCCAAATGAAGCTTAATACAGTCAAGTGTAAAGAGTTCAATGGTCACTGATCAATTGTGGTATCTTATTACAATTTCAAGTGCATCTAGTTAGCATGAACGTAATCTCGTGCTGTGGATTTGTGATTGTTTGAACCCTAGGTTCTATGAGAAGAAAAATTGGATATTCCATCTCAAGTAATTAGCCTCAGGGTACAAAAGACCCTTAGACATTATTGTATTATGGCACTGATACTGACCAGGTATACCCTGTACATTTAAGGCATGTCACAATGATAATGACATATATAAAGACAGCCACTCTGTCAGCATACAGAAAAAAGTAACAGATGTAAGCCATTCAGTCCTCAAATTGTTTGGGAGCCCAAGCATCATTCCAGAGTTGAAGATCGAACAAAACTGGATTCTGCTCCCAAATCAGATGTACTCCTTTTAAATCAATTGGAAAGATGATGCTCATTTACAGTGTACTCTACTTGTTGTGCTGAAGCTTTTCAGGGTTAATACTTTGCTGGTATATTAATTCTGTATTCTGCAGGTCACTCGTCTGTACATTTTTTTGAATTAATCTATTTACTTTACTTGCCCTTTAAAAATAGAGCATTTTCTTTCTTCTTTGTCAATAGTGAACACTTTATGCTTAATACTTAGGTTCAGTGCAACATTGGACAATAAAAGCCGTCAATTTGCATCTGTAAATAAGTTTAAAAGCACAAGTTGACATTCTAATGTTTTAACGACAGCTGCTAGTAATACTGTACAAGTCAGGTCCCAGAGTGAAACCTGACCCTGATACAGCACAAGTTTCATGTTTATTTTTGTTCACTGTGGAGGTCAGTCAATGAACATATTCACACGAGGCTGCCAATGTACTTATAAGAAAAGAACAAACAAGTTTATTATTAAAAAAAGAAAAGCACGAACTGTAATAGCACTGGAGGGGGTGCAGAGGAGATTCACTCGGTTGATTCCAGAGTTGAGAGGGTTGGATTATGAGGAGAGACTGAGTAGGCTGGGATTATACTCATTGGAATTCAGAAGAATGAGATCTTCTAGAAACATACAAGATTATGAAGGGAATAGATAAGGTGGAGGCATGGGGGCCGTTTCCACGAGCAGTTGAAACTAGGACTAGGGGGCATAGCCTCAAAATAAAGGGAAGCAGATGTAGGACTGAGGTCAGGAGGAACTTCTTCACCCAAAGGGTTGTGAATCTGTGGAATTCCCTGCCCAGTGAAGCACTTGAAGCTACCTCGCTGAATGTTTTTAAGGCAAGGCTAGATAAATTTTTGAACAGTAAAGGAATTAAGGGTTATGGCGAGCGGGTGGGTAAGTGGAGCTGAGTCTCAAAAAGATCAGCCATGATCTTATTAAATGGCGGGGCAGGCTCGAGGGGCTGGATGGCCTACTCCTGCTCCTTGTTCTTATGTTCTTATGTAATACACTGTATAAGAACTACATCAAAAGATTGTTGCCAGGGTTGGAGAGTTTGAGCTGTAGGGAGAGGCTGACTAGGCTGAGGCTATTTTCTCTGCAGCGTTGGAGGCTGAGGGGTGATCTTAAAGAAGTTTATAAAATCATGACGGGCATGGATAGTGTGAATAGTTAAGGTTTTTTCCCCAGGGTAGGGGAATCCGAAACTAGAGGCATAGATTTAAGGTGAGAGGGGAAAGATTTTGAAGGGACCCAAGGGGCAACTTTTTCAGGCAGAGAGTGGTGCATGTATAGAATGAACTGTCAGAGGATGTGGTGGAGGCTGGTACAATTACAACATTTAAAAAGGCATCTGGATGGTACATGGATGGGAAGGATTTAGAGGGATATGGGCCAAATGCTGGCAAATGGGACTAATTTAGGATATCTGTCTGGCATGGGTGAGTTAGACCGAAGGGTCTGTTTCTATACTGTACATCTGGATGACTCTCCTGGAATTATCTTATTGCAAGTATCAGAAAGAATGATTCATCCCTTTTCATCCTTGCAATAACCTTACAGACACTCAAACTCTGAAGCGTCACCCTTTTATGCACACTACAGTTTCTTGCTAAGCTAGCATGTCTGTAGTCGGTCTCATTTTGGCAAATGTCTGCACATTCATTTGATGCTTTTTTTTAGTTAATATCTGGCTCCGAGACTCTTAAACTGCTAACACCGCTTACTTTTGCTGCTTAAGATGGTTTGTTAAATGCGTCGTCAACAACCTCATTGGATGTCTTCCCTCTATCAAACCCCTGCAGTTCTTTTTCTTCACGGTCTCCTGAGCAACTCAGGATTTCTCCCAGACTTGCATACTTAGAGACTGCTGCTCATAGCACCCTTTGGTATTATGTGTACCTCTTCTTTCTGCATGAACCTGCTTCATGTCACACACCCCTCCATCCACCCCTTTCCCTCTGTAGAAATCATAAAATTCAAGTCCGGAAATGCTTTTGCAATTTGTGTCCCCAGGCGGCATGCTGGGCATTTCGCTGAAAACACATGATTTCTTCTCACCAGTTTTGCAAATGATCTTCTGAACTTAAAAAGGTAAGCAAATCTTCACAGAACTAAAATCTAAAATCTAATCATCCTCCATTTTAAAATCCAAGGTCCATAACATTAATTATAAATTATTAAATTTCAGAACAATAGTTTTAAACTCATGTATTGTCTGAATCCTTCCTGCTCCCATTATCATTATCATCTTCACCCAACAAGGCAAAAGGCTCATTAACTTCCATCTCCAGTGTCTACATTATATCATTGGCATCACATGGAAAGACAAGGTCATCACAAAGCAGCCCATTCTGGGGCAAGCATGCTAGCTTGTGGACCTAGTGATATTATCACTGGACTGTTAATCCAGAGATACTGTTCTGGGGACCCGGGTTCAAATCCCGCCACGGCAGTTGGTGGAAATTGAATTCAATAAATATCTGGAATTAAGAGTCTAATGATGATCATAAATCCATTGCCGATTGTTGGGAAAAACCCATCTGGTTCACTCAAGTCCTTTAGGGAAGGAAACTGCCATCCTTACCTGGTCTGGCCTACATGTGACTCCTGACCCACAGCAATGTGGTTGACTCATAATTGTCCTCTGGGCAATTAGGGTTGGACAATAAATGCTGCCTAACCAGCGATGCCCTCATCCCATGAATGAATAAAGAAAAA